ATCTTCAGCTTTGACCCTTTCTCCATAAGTTAGGGCAAAGAGGAAAAGAAAACATCAATGATTATTCTGTGTAGTTGAGTAAAGCAAAAGCCTGGGCTAGGTAATTTAAAAGAGATCATTTTATTCAATAGCCAGAGTTATCCTTTTTTTTTTTCTGTCATTCACATAATTGTCTCAGAGTTCCATTTTGCTCCACCTACATTAACCAAATGAGATTTCAGCTCACTTTAAAATTTTTTTTTTTTAATTTATTTCTGAGAGAGAGAGACAGCATGAGCACGGGGAGGGTCGGAGAGAGGGAGACACAGAATCTGAAACAGGCTCCAGGCTCTGAGCTGTCAGCACAGAGCCCGACGTGGGGCTCGAACCCACTAACTGTGAGATCATGACCTGAGCCGAAGTCGGACGCTTAACCGACTGACCTACCCAGGTGCCCCTCAGTTCACTTTAATGGTTCTGTTCCTGTGTATTGATGACGGGGTCCTGAAAAAGTTTCAAAAATGCTTTCACTTATTTTATTGCTTGACCTCCCCATAACAACTGTTTTGAGTTGGTAGGATAGAAACATTGTTTCCTGTTTTCTGTTTAAAACACTGAGAGGCAGAGGGGTGAAGTGACTTTCCACTCTACAGAAAGAAGAATCTCTTGACTTTTTCTCTGATAATCCTAGAACCTTAATGATATTAAAATGATCATTTTTAATGTAAAAATATTTTTAATGTTTATTTATTGTGAGGGAGGCAGAGAGAGAGAGAAAGAGAGAGAGAGAGAGAGAGAGAGAGAGAGAGAGATCGATCATGAGTAGAGTAGTAGCAGAGAGAAGACAGAGAATCCCAAGCATGCTCCATGCTGTCAGCACAGAGCCTGAAACTGGGCTCCAACTTGCAAATCTTGAGATCATGATCTGAGTTGAAACCTAGAGTCAGATGCTTAAGCAACTGAGCCACCCAGGTGCCCTGACCATTCTAATATAGTGTTACATTTGTATCATTGTCAATTATTACTATGTTGGAAAATATATTGTGACTGGAGATCAAGGGGAGGAAGAGAAAGACACAGATTAACTAAATAATGGTTGTGCTACCAAAAGAACACACAGAATCATGGCCATCAGAGTCTAGAACATTCCTTTCCTCCTTAGCTCGGTACCTCAATGCTGTGTGGATTACAGTGCTCATGTGGAAAGAAGACTAGTGCTATCCTATTCATTTAAAATAAAAAGTTGTTGGTATGATACAGATGGGTTTGCATAATTAATATCATGTTCTCTTCCTGCCAACAAGGGAATACATATACTTTTCTAGTGGAGACAGTGGTCAAGATTGATAACCAGCTTTTTAAAAAAAATTTTATTGTTTATTGTTGATAGAGAGGGACACAGTGTGAGTGTGGGAGGGTCAGAGAGAGAGACACACACAGAACGTGAAGCAGGCTCCAGGTTCTGAGCTGTCAGCACAGAGCCTGATGCAGGGCTCAAACTCACGGACTGTGAGTTGATGATCTGAGCTGAAGTCGGACACTTAATTGACTGAGCCACCCAAGTGCCCCATATAACCAGCTTTTTTAATGATACAAAAAAGTTTTCCCTAGTTAGAACCTACACTAACTGTATATGGTTTAAAAAAATTAAAGTTGAAGAGCAAAAATCCAAATAATGAAATAACAGAATTCTTTTCTAATTCTCTCGGGAATTGTTGCCTCCCACATGGCAACCTTTGCAACTGTGCAACCACTGCAGTGCAGTCGGTGACGATCGGAGTTTTCTATGAATATGAGGATATGATGTTAGACAGGAGGCACAGGCAAGGCCTGGGTTTAAGAGAAACCTCAAATGAGACATTTGAGACCCAGAGCCTTCTTGCCTTCCTCTTCACTTGATGGATCAAAGCTTTTTCCAAATCATCTTTGTAAAAAAGTCCTATACCCATGTTGAGTCTGCAAGGAGTACATCACCTCATCTACTACTTCTTCTTCTGCTATTAATGGGGTAATCATTTCAGGTGATAGATTTTACCAGAAGAGTCTGACGATTGACCCTGCCATTTGAAGAAGAAAAATCCAGTACCTTTTGTTTTGTAAGGATGTGAGAGCCAGGATGACAGCAGTCAGTTATCAGACTTGGCATTTCTGAAGCTGAGTAGAGCCCACATGATCACCATAATGTCATGCTGGAATTGTGTTTCAGTTCGTGATTAAGTTTAGAATGTAAACAACCTTAATATGGTGCTTTAGAGGGATAGAAATCTTTGGAAATGTTTAGTTTTTGAAATATAGGTTTAATGTTTTTTCTTTTTAATTTAATGTTTGTTTATTTTTGGGAGAGAGACACAGACAGAAAGACAAAGAAACAGAGACAGAGTGTGAGCACGGGAGGAGCAGAGAGAGAGGGAGATACAGAATCCAAAGCAGGCTCCAGGCTCTGAGCTGCTAACACAGAGCCCAGTGCCGACCTTGAACTCACAAACTGAGATCATGACCTGAGCTGAAGTCAGACACTTAACTGACTGAGCCACCCAGGCACCCTAATATATAGATTTCAGAACGCAAACATATGTTCTAATTTACAACAGATAGAAACATTAGCCATAAGCTGTCACTTTGTGTAAAGAGAAAAGTTGTGAGAGGGGTAAGGAAATGTTTTAAATTGTATATCCATTTATTTTTAGGCCAGATAAAATCTCCCAAGGTTTCTTTTAAACTGCAAAATACTTGTAAAACTTCGGTTTGATAATTATTGCAAAGAAAGGGAAGATATGAAAATATTCGTTCTGATAATGTAGTGGGTGACATTCTGTATGGCCTCATACTAGATGGTGGCAGATTCTCTAACATTCAGCCTTAGGTTTTGATATTTGTACTTTTTCTTGTAAACTATTTGTTTAGAGGCAAAAGTCATTGGTTTTGAACTTAAGTTGATTTAGGGAACTAAATGATATACCTAAACACATGCGTTAGCCCTACCATGACTTTTTAATGACTTTTCCGTTTAATTTGGTTTTGGGAATTGATTTGCCCTTTAAGAATAATATCAGCATTTAGAGTAATTTTACTTGCTTTTTGTCTGCACAGTAACTGATTTTTCTCCCTAAGAGAATGACTGTACAAAATGTGAAAACTGCTGTGTGTCAGCTAGAAATGGCAACTCTGATAACAAGAATGAGTGAATGCGGTCCTGAGCTGAGACTGAAAGAAAGAGTCCACCGAAAGTCAACTTTGTCATCTAGATTTGCAGGTGCTGTTGGGGTATAGGGAATGATCTATTGCCTTCCACATTCTGCTGAGCTCTGTTGGCTATAAAGTTGCCTATTATTTCTGCAGGGTTGTTCCTTGGCTCCTTTGTTCTTGCCTTCATATCTCCTTCCATGTGGTCAGTATCAGCTCCGGCCATAGGGGTTTGGGTAGAAGTGGAGTTGAAGGGTTTAAAAGTGGGACTCCAGAGTTCATTGGTCTCTCTCATCTTTTCATTGGTTCTTATTCTATCAATCTGCTCATAAGCACATTCATCCCACTCAGTGTCTTTGGTCCGTCCAACCACAGTGATGATACTGAAATATGTGCTCAGATTAATAACTTGAAGCATATAAATGAGCTTTCAGACTTCTTAGGAACTTAAAGTGGTGAACGTTCTCATGGCTATAGCATTAATTTTTTTGAAGATGTTGGCAGGTGTCTGTCCCTGACTCCAGTTGTTCATCTTTAAAATAGAACCACAGTTCTTCAAAGTTTCTGTGAAAATAGCAGTAAAGTTTTATTTTATTTTATTATTTTATATTTTATTGGTGTCTCAATTTTTCATTTAATGATAAAAAACATTTATATAAGCCCGAAGTAAAATCTTTCAAGATCGTATACTCAGAGGAGGCTCCAATGAATTCCTGCCCACTTCCCCTCCCTCCATAGATTACCTTTTTTTTTTTTTAGTATAGTTTATTGTCAAGTTGGTTTCCATATAACACCCAGTGCTCATTCCCACAAGTGCCCTCCTCCATGCCCATCACGCATTTTCCCCTCTCCCCCACACCCCATCAACCCTCAATTTGTTCTTCGTATTTAAGAGTCTCTTATGGTTTGTCTCCCTTCCTCTCCTTAACTATTTTTCCCCTTCCCCTCCCCTATGGTCCTCTGTTAAGTTTCTCCTGTTCCACAGATGAGTGAAAACATATGGTATCTGACTTATTTCACTCAGCATAATACCCTTGAGTTCCACCCACATTCCTGCAAATGGCCAGATTTCATTCTTTCTCATTGCCATGTAGTATTCCATTATATATATAAACCACATCTTCTTGATCCACTTGTCAGTTGATGGACATTTAGGCCCTTTCCATGATTTGGCTATTGTTGAGAGTGCTGCTATGAACACTAGGGTACATGTGCCCCTATGCATCCGCACCCCTGTATCCCTTGGGTAAGTTCCTAGCAGTGCATCCACTCTGGAGAATAGTGTCAAGGTTCCTTGAAAAGCAGTAAGTTTTATAGGGAGAAGGAGAATGATCATAATCATCTAAATTATTGTTTTCATTATTTTTTAATTTTTTTCAATGTTTATTTTTGAGACAGAGACAGAGCATGAGCAGAGGAAAGGCAGAGAGAGAGAGGGAGATATAGAATCCAGAGCAGACTTCAGAGCCTGATGCAGGGCTTGAACTCACGGAGCGTGAGATCATGACCTGAGCTGAAGTTGGTTGCTCATCCAATTGAGCCACCCAGGCATCCCCTAAAATTGTTGTTTTTAATGTCACTTGCCACAATATGTATCTAATTGCGTGCCATGGCTGCCACCAGCCCTGACCTTTGAGCATCGCTGCATCTGTGTCCTAGTGTTAATGATAGACGTGTCATGGCTTCAGATCCTTCAGATGCATCAGGCTGGCAAAGGTTAGATCCAAGAGGGATAAGAAACACCTGTGGGTTTATCAGCTGGGCTAAACTGCTTGAATCCAGCTACATGCATCTACTGGCACTATTTGGAAAATAAAAAAATCCCCCTTTACCTCCTTACATAGTGCATCAGGTCTTAGAAAGCCCTTCCAACTCCCCTGAAGCCTGAAACCTCCTCCAGAGTTCCTGACCGCAGATGAGAGGAGTTTGAGGGGAGATGTCGCCCATCTGTAGGGATTGTGCAGACTCCGTCATTGCTGTCTGAGTTAAAAAATAAAGGAAATGATTTATTAAAGGTTAGGCAGCAAGAGAGTGCCAAAGCCAGAAAACAGATCTTTACTGATGTTTTTGCTATTAAAAGCTCTTTGAGGAGGAAGGGTAGGGATACTACTTGTTGGCTTTCATTGGTCCATTTGGGCAAAGAAAGAGAAGCAGAGAATAAGGACTGATTAGGAGCCTAAATGCTACTTATTTTCCCATGTAACAGTGGAAGTTGAAAATGCTCTCATAATATGCTATAAATGCAGGTTTATTGGAGAATTTATTTTGTATATTTTATGAATATAGTGTAATTTCTTATGTAATGGTAGTACAATTCTTGGCTCTTGTTCTGTGTGAGAGCTAAAACGATCTGATGTTGATGTTATCAAGATGGGAGCAAACTTCATAAAATATAGCAGTATCTATGCATACATAGGAGAGTAGCTTTTAAAATATTAGTTCATTCCATTTTTCAACTTGTAATGTGAAGTGATTTTTTAAAGTATAGTAGAAGTGAATTTTTATGTTTCATTTGCAGTTATTGAATTGTGTAGGTAATGCATTTTTGGTGGGTACAGTTCCTAAACTTAGAAAAGCAGTTTTTCAGTGACACGGTAGTTTTTACCTTTTTGTTTTTATTACGTAACAATCTTAAGATGTCAGGTTTTGGGTGTCTACTTTAAACTTGTTTGGTTGAATTGACATTTAAATTCAGTCCCATCCCAGTGTTATATGAATGGACCTAGTCTTCTAACACTTCTTTTCTTCTTGTTCATTGGAGACTAGCACAGAGAACACCATCACTTAATAAGAAAGACGTTTCCTACTTTGTTTCCTTTTATCCAACTCAGAACTGCCTGCGGGAAAATATTGCTTTCTTTTTGAATGTGGTAAGCCAAAAAATGGAAAATGTACACATGAACATTTGTGCCTCTGTCCTATTAACCTTGAGAAGAGAGGGCAAGAATGTGTGAATAATATTGTTAGATATTTAAATACACTTATTAAGTTGGTTTAAGGGTTTCACCTAACAGGTAACTTAATTTATATATTTCAAAACTGTTTGAATTTTTTTTCTCCAAAATGTATTCATCTTTCTGAAATCCTTTTTGAGATTTACATTATTCTAGTTTCAATTTTGGTCATTTTTGTGTCTGCCAGTCATGAGTGGTTTAATCTATGATAAGTTTATCCTATAAAACCACATGATACAAGATGAGCCCTTTAGTATAATTCCTTTGTACTTTTTGGAAACTTAAACTATAAGCAGTAATTCACATCCTGAATTAGGAATGTTCAGATATTACCAAGTATTAGATTGTCAGAAAAATATTCATTGGAATAATTTTGTAAATTTTATATATATTATAGAATATTTCATATTAAAAATACATTCTATATTTTTATAAAAACAAATTAGAAGCTGAAACAGGTAAATTTTGCTGGTTTCAGATCACTTAGGGGAATGACTTTTGTTTCTAATTCCTAGCTTAATAAGTATATTTGACTTCAATAGGAGGATAAATTCAAATTTTCAGTTTTAAACTAAGGCTTTAGGCAAGTTAGGGAATTGAGAAATCCAGATTTGTATCTGATAGCTATCTATCAAAATACATATGTCACTGAGTGTGTATTATAAAAAATAATTTCACCAATTGTATTGGACCAACTGCTCTTGAACTCTTTAAGTGCATTGGTTGAAGGTATAGCCTGGAATGATGGTTGGCTTGTGGTCTCTTCCTTTCAGGGTCGAGATGACAGTGTGCTGAATGGTGATTCAGCCAGCCAGTTCTACATGGCTCTGAGCAGTTGTAAACCACCATCCTGGAAACATGTGCACAGAGTTTTGAGCTAGGCCTTAGACACTGATGGTAGGAGATCTGGAATTTAGAACCAGGAACCCCTAAGGCACCTGGTTTTATATCAGGGGTCAGTAAATAGGCATGAAGTCATCAGCTCAGGGAAATTCTCTAGGGAAACGACTAATGGAAATGGTAGTCCAACCTTCTCAGATATTTATTTTTACCGTTACAGACCAATCATGAGTTTGACTGGATAAAACAAGTAAGCCCAACTGTGATTGTATGTTAATTCACCCATTCTTCTCCATTCAGAGGATCTATGCCAAACACAAGACCTGCATTCGCCAGTGAATTGACAGTCTTATTGCCCCACACAAGCGTGTAATCAGGCCAGTCTGTGTACACTCCTTGTGACCTTGTCATTATGCTTTGGTCTTTATTCTCTTTCAAATTTATTCCTCTTTCTTTATCATCCTGAAGCTATAGCTCTTTTAGTAACCTCACCTTCCACTAACACCCGCTAATCTTAAGTGATCTCTTACCATGCACTGTCCTTTACCTTACTGAGTCCTCACATTAATTCCATGACATAAGTGTTATTAGCATCGTTGACATTTTATACATAAGGGAACCAAGGTTTAGAGGGATTATGTTCCTTGCTGAAGGTCACACTGCTAATTACCAGTAAAGACAGGAGTCAACTAAGCCCTGGGTGATTTTGTGGTCTGTACTTAGCTGTGATGCATGCGTGACACCTCTAAAATGGGTATTAGTTCATAGGTATTTTTGAGTCTTGAAAGAGGGCAAGGGAAACTCCTGTGAAATGAGCTAAAACTTGAGTTTTTAGTATTATGTGGTGATTGTGGTGAAGCAGTTATCAACTCCTGTTACATGAGCTGAAAGTGATGGGAACAAATATGCACCTTTGATGATAAGGCTGTGATGGAGGTCTCATTAATGTTGGGTCAGCCTTAGATGTTTAACCTTATCCTGAAGGCTTATGCTGCTTGTGAAGTCTGCATCTGACACTCTAATCTCTTCCCAGCAGATACAGGTGTCCTTCTCTGCCCAACATCAAAGCAAGCCGAGGCGGATAGTTCCCGGAGAACATTGTGTCTCTGTAGACTCACTGACTTTATAGACATTAGTTTTTACCCCTGCCACTGGTGCCCGTACATGAGCTTCTGTCTTGGTGCAACCACATAGGTATCTATTTCTAGATTTGGAGCTGTCCCAAACAGACTTGAAGTTCACCACCAGCATGACACTCTCTGAACTGGGGAATAAGAGTGGATCATACATTGACATATATTCTGTCCAACTTACTTCATATTAGGACCTCATTCTTTAAATAATCCTTGGTTAAAGAGAGGCTTTGTTATCTACTCCATAGTCTCTATGGAAAGAGAAGTCTGGTCTACATTAATTGCCTGTTTTGTTTTTGTCTTTCTGGTATTATTTCTGCTCTGCATTAGATTTGAATTTTAGATTAGGTGCATGGGAAGAATCTACCTGAAGATCTCTGATTTTCAGCCAGTTTGAAACATAAATCTAAAAGCTAAAGTGTTCATTAAAGGACAGGTATCTTAAACCCTCATAGGGTGTTACCCAAATCCCATGAAGGTAGCACTGAAATCTAAATACCTTTAAGGATGAACGGAACATGTGAGTCTACTGGAAAACAGTATGATTCAAAGTGCAAGGAGTGACTTTATTGGATTCATAGTACCTTTGGGAATTTTCAAATTAGGATAAGTGTCCAGGAATCACTAGTTAGCAGTAATACGATCAAGAAAAATAACCAGAGAGTTTCAGTATTTTGCTGCCACAAATTAGTAAGAAAACAATGTGTGACAAAATAATTTAAGATTCCAGGAATTCTGTTGTTTTGAGCTGAGGGCAAGGAGACAAAATTTTTTTTAAGTTGTAGAAAAAAGCGGGGTATTATATTGTGGTTACTGGTTTTTCCTTAGTTTCTAAGAACAAAGGAGGATGTTTTAGAAAGAAAACTGAGGCCTGTTTGCAGAGGCAAGATAAGAGGACAGAAGGGTTGGGAAGATCATGGTGAAGTGAAAATATTAGAATTTAGTCGGTTGGTAAATTGAGGATAATTATATTCAGGGACAGTGTAAAGTAATTAGGGGGTAAGGAGCCCAATTATGAGATAGTCTTGATAATATAGATGGCTCAATAAAATACAACAATAGAAAGATAAAAATAGAATACTTTTATATAAATTCTGGAGGAGTTTAAAAATGAGTGTTTAAGATAAAAACTTAGAAGGAAAGTCACTAAAATTTGATGAGGTATGTTTTGAAGGAAATAAAAGCCTCATTTTCTGTACTGAGTTAAGAAATATCTCTTTCTCTGATTTAACACCATTTTATAAGTGCTGCTGGATTTTAGAATTCTGACTGTCGAGAAGGGGTTTTGGGAAAAAGCAAAAATTCTATAAAACCAATCATTTAGCTGTGGTTGGATTGTTCCTTTTATTTTACTTTGTTTCCTAAAGGCCATTTTTGGAGTTATTTGAAAGAGAAGCTTGAAGGTTAAAATGTTTTTCTGGTTAAAGTTAGTGATTTGTTTGTTGGAAACCTTTGTTAAGGGTTGTCAGGCCTTTTTCTAAGAATTTTAGATGCCCCTGCTGTGCAAAGGGCTGCTTGAGTCCGTTCCTACAGAAACAGTGTTCGGCTCAGTGGTTAAATTCTACATCTCCTGTGCGATGCCCAGTACTGACAGGAGATGAAAATTAAAGTCCATTCTCTGGGTGGGATGATCGTTTGGGAGTTAAGACTCAAAAAAGGAGTGCTTCTTTGACTTCCTTGTGTTCTCAGCTCCAGGCTCACATTTTTCGTTCATGAAGAACGCAAAAAAAAAAAAAAATCCCCGTGCATTTTTTTGGCAAGTTCAAGGGCATGGTAGATATAGAAGGGCTTGGACTCAATCCCAGCCCTGGTGCTTCGTTCTGTGGAGGTAGAAAGAAAGCATTTCGTAAAATGGGGTGTCCTGCTATTGTCCAGTATTCCCAGGAAATAACTCCCAGCAAGGAGCATATTGCATTGAACTTTGCTCAGTGCTTCCTGATTTCAGGGCTTCTCATTTCCTGTGAGCATGTCACTCTACTGTATGACATTCTCCTAGGAGGGTAAGAAAGGTGTCAAGAGTCAGCCGTGAACTGTCAGCGTTTTCTTTATTCTT